ACCACCCCATCCCCATCCCCATACCCATGCTCTCTCACTCTTTTACCTGCTCTCATTCATGGTAATGACTTACTCAATTACTGAATTTAAACAGGAATTCCCTTTAATTTATAACGAGAGTATAATGCAATAAATTTCTCGAATAATTGCACTGGATAAATAATTATTATTCAATTAATCATGGACTCTCCAGTTAATTGTAACTATTATCGTTTAATAGAATAAGAATGACAACTATAATAATTATATCGTTCGGGAATTTTTATAACATATATTACGTTAAAAGAAAAATATTATTGGTATTCAAATGGAAAAGTATATTGTTATATTAATAGGATTTTGTAGTTATGTGGTATATGTGTCGAAATGTGATTGAAGCGTGCATTTTGTATGTAGATTTATTTTTGTGTGAGTGATTGCTATTTTTACTCATTTATTACGACTTACTTTTCTATTATCTTAATTTCTTTCATTTTTCTCTCCTTTTTTCTTTCTTTTATCTATCATTCGAGTTTACTAATCCTTGATAAGTGCTTTGGATTTTTAATTTATTTTCTCATATATTCTATTTTAATTTTTTATATTAATTATAATTATTATTATTTAATTTATGTTTCTATTTATGAATAGTGTCTTGTAGAGTAAGACTAACAAGTTATAATTGTCAAGTTAAACGTGCACGCTTATAGGAAGATTCTCATTACGATTTGATAATAATAAAGTCATTTGTGAATGTCAAGAGTAGTTTAAAAATGTAGAAAATTCATCGGACTCGATACAATTTTTCAAATGGATAAAGTATTGTGTAACTCCGGGCACATGCACGAGTCCTATGTCAAATGGAAAAAAAAAACGAAAACAAGAAACAAAAAAAAAGCAAAAAAAAAACATATTCCCAAACGCAATGATGTAGGAATAGAAAGAAAAGGACGGGTTCATTAGTATCAATAGTTATAACGAACCTCATTCAGTAGTATTATTCTACAAGATACATTACATACTAATTTAATTTTTCGTTTCCAGCATTGTACACACCCACGTACCATCCAATAATTTAATTTGTCCCCGTTTAGTTAATTACAATTGATTTCGATAATTCCGCTTCGTATGTACCATACACTTGATTATGATTTTTATTTTATCATTTGGCAAGTAAAGTTTGCGCGACTGCGCGTGTGCGTGTTGCGCGCGCGTGTGCGTGTGTATGCTGGCTGTAGGTGAGCGCGGAGTGGATGTGAGAGTGCGTGATGATGAGCTTAGTTGAGCTTGAGGCACGTAGAGGCGCAAAGTACTGACGTATTTCAACCGTACATTGCAGTACCGGGAGATCCTCAGAACGTGAAGGCTACCGCGATAAACTCGACGGCGATATACGTTGAGTGGGAGCCGCCGAAGGTCAAAGAGCGCAACGGCATCATACGGGGATATCACGTTCATGTGCAAGAGGTTCATGAAGAGGTCAGTATCTCGTTGCTTTTATTTTTATAAGTAAGCCACCGAGCAACGCTCTCAACTGACGGTGACATCCTATGATGCTGCGCGACAAAATTTCACAGCCCTTTGAGTACTAGAAATTTCCGTCCCTGGTTACGAGGAATCCTAATTGACTATTCTCCGATATATCCCACCCCTCTTTCTACCTGCCTCCCAAAAAATTTCAGAGCTCCATTTCATTGTTAATTCTGGTACGGAAACTATTCACCGGTACTTGATACTATTTTACTATCCATTACATCGTGTATATATCCAATATATATATATACATATGACTACAATCATTCATATTGTACTATCTATTATAATGATAAAATAGATTAAATTTAAATGAGCCATACGCCAGTGTATTTATTACCTGCTATATTTATACCAAAAAAATTTTTACTGAATACGAAACTTTGATTTGCATAAATATCGTTTAAATTAACTACGTCTAACTTGAAAAACAATATTTCGAATTGTTGTAACAAAAAACTTTATTTAATGATAAATAATGATGATTAAAAAAAAAAAACAAAGAAAAAATTAATAAATAAAAATAAATAATCAGTGTACTAAAATCGATTATTTATACAACTCGAATCTATTGATGTAAAAAGTTTCGAGCAAATATTTAAACGCTTCGAGTGAAATACGATTGAAACAACGTGTCGCATCCATTGAATTATATTGCGAATTTCACTCTCATTCTCTCTCTCTCTCTCTCTCTCTCTCTCTCTCTCTCTCTCTCTCTAAATGTTTGTGAAATAAATAAATAGTATAACTGCTGATAACTGATTTAGGCTATATCATCGAATGCAAATTGTAAGTCATTAAAATAGTATTATATACAATATAAATAATGCTAATGTAATATTATGCTAATAGCTCGTTTGATTATAAGAAGAAAATTGGAATTGTGATTGATTAATTAGATGTTATATCCTACGTTAAATTAACTAAATTAATAACATGAAAACTAATATTACTTGAAAGTACGAGGAACTGGTTCAAAGAAATTATATCGAACATTATTAATCTGATAATATATTGGAATTGTTTTCTTGTGAGACTTTATTTGTTCGCATAATATTGCATAATACAGAGACATTATAATATGCATAATGTCGGTATAATAATAATTTAAACGCACTTACAATATGAAAAAATAAAATTATAACGAGACTTTACAGTAAATTAAGAAACATGAAAAACATTTATACTAACCGGAAGAAAAGTTAAATATCAGTTCTTAGAATAATAGCTCTTATGCATTTGTATGCAAAATGAGTAAAAATTAGTATACGTTCTTTTTGCAATAAGTCGCTGTTCTTTATTTCTTTCAATTCTTCTCAACAGTCAAATAATCATGAATATTTATTCTACTTCATTTACGAAATTTCATAAAAATACAACAAAAAAAGAAACAAAAAACAAAAACTAATAAAATGAAAATATCGTCTTAAACTCGAGCATAAAAATTATCCAACTATGTTTAATGCAAAAGGATTTTAAGATTTTATAATAAACGAAAAATTCAGTATAAAAATGTCCACCTTCACCTCACAATAATAACTTCAATATTATGCAAATTGGCATACCTTTCTTTCTCTAAATACACGTTTCTGACTTCCCCGTCCCAGTGTATCCGCATTGTTATTATAATTACCGCTTCTTTTTCTTTTTTTTCAAAATATTTACATAAATACATTATTCAAAGGTAAAATTCGGCAATAAAAAGTTTTCTATCTCGTCTAAAAATCGATAACGTTGGCCAATTTCGCTTATTGACCGATCTCGCGTACGAGCCTAAGTTCCCTTAAAAACAAACAAAAAACCCAAAAAGAAAGCAAAAGAAAACCGCTGTAAAATTCGATGCCTAACGCGACAATAATGAATAATAAATTGTTAGAATAAGAATCAACTGAACGAGCCGATCCGTAATATAATCCTCGAGGAAAACGTCCTCTACGCAAACATAAGTGGACTGCAGCCCGACACTCGCTACGACGTTCAAGTGGCTGCTTTGACAAGGAAGGGGGATGGAGCGAGATCCGTACCCGTTCATGTGAAAACTCCTGGTGGCGTGCCGAACAGGCCCCAAGTGAACGTCAAGTAAGTCAAAGATGGAGCGTTAAATCCATAGTCTCGTCCTATGTAAGCGAAGTAACTTAAGGAAACAGGCATTACGAGCCTTGATTTCATATTGTCATAGCGAAGACAATGCCACAATGGCGTCGCATGAACAGACGAGAATGATTATTACGCCCAGGTTAAGTGCGAATGTGGGATATTGATTTTTAAAATTCGATTTCTATTTTATGCACAGAGTTATAAGTCGAGAGGATCCCATTGAGATAGAGCTGGAGTGGAAAAGGCCGAGTGAAACATTTGGCCAGATCTTGGGTTACAGGATACGATATGGAATTAAAAATCAGACGATGAGAGAGCATTTTATTGACGGAGACAAGCAGTTCACGTACAGAATCAAAGATCTTGGTATGATTTATAGATTATTGATAGTTTAATTGTTATTGGAAAGCATTTTTCGTCTGTTGTAAGGAGTGTGCCGTTGAATACGGTTTTTTTTTTTTTTTTTTTTTGGATAATTAGAATCAGTAGATTTGAAATAATGTGCTTTACCATAAATAACGTAGGATAATTTAAATAACTCGGACAAAATAAATTATGCCTCTTTTTTTTTTTTGAAAAACTATGGAATAATATGTATTACTGGGAATAATAGAAAAAAAAACGAAATATATTCTCAGTGAAAGTAAGTAAAAAATACAAAAATTCTTTGTGTCTGGTAGCTAATATTTAATTAAAAATATAGATTTTTACAAGTCTTTACAAGTCTGCTATCCTTTATATTTATATAAGTATTTTCAACTGTTATTTGTAATTATTTCTTTACATTTTCTGCTGAAAAACTCGGAAAAACATCGGAAAATTAGGATTCTTCTTAATACTATGCTCATAACTGAATAAAGTTTTTATTATAATAATTACGATTGCTTTTTATTTTTGTTTTTATTTATAATAATAATAAATGTCAAGTCGTATCATTATAAATTATCGTCTTGCTTGGAAATGGTTCGGAAACTCATTAAATAATTTCAATCTTCATCTATATAGTCACGACCTCGTACCTTCTTTAGAATTCCTATTTATTATTTCTCACAATATTGCTTCTTATCTGTTAGTAGTGCATTACCATGATCTACTTAGAACTTTCTTGTCATAATGTTGGAAGATAATATAATGACATGACGAAAAAATCCACCTCATTCGTTAAAAAAAAAAATAAAAAAAAAAAATTATAAAATATCACTCGATAGTTCAGAAGTTGTACAATCTAATTTTTCCTTTGTAATGAAACTGATAATTAATTGTAAGGATATATTATATTGTGTTTGCTCGAATCCCTAATCACGTGAGATCTTTTCATCGTGATTGCACATGCAACTAATTTCTCCATATCCATGTTAAATTAAAATCTTTTCATATTATTATATGAAGACTTGCTCAAAGGCAAGATAGACTATTAAAATGGAGCTTAATTAAGTTACTCGACATTCGCATATTTTCTAATTATGATTAATTATAATATGATTAATATCTGCAAATGAGGCTAGTTAATTAATTGTAACTATGACATTTTCCACTTTGCACGTACGAGAATTTCAGATCTCTTCAGAGCGGACTTAAATGAGACTTTGGGGACTGTTTTCTAGAGTCACATAATAATGAATCCCAGAGCTCATAATTAATTTTAATAAGCTTGCGTTGCTAAAATAATTATTCTTTTCCGACGATACATAAAATAATATACTGAATTGCTAGATATCACTACCTATCCGATTAATATAATAACAAATTTATCGAAAAGGAACCATACTGTTGTAAAATCCCATATTCATATTCTATCGATTAAAAACTGCAATCGTTATAACATGGTTACGCAATTTGAATCGACAATACATTAAAATTTCTTCAATTATTATAAATTTTTCGAAATGTACATAAAAATTGGCAAGAATTAGATTTTTTTTTTCTTTAAAAAAATTAAATTACTTTATTCGTTTTTCCAGATTCTTTAACATGATTTTAAAACTTTATGAAAATAACAAAACTTAATGGCGTTTTCAAATCCAACGTTCAATCGAATTTAAAATTTTTTTTTTTTTTTATTCCTTTTTTTCATAAAACTCATCGTTGCTGTGTAATAGGGTTTTCGTATTTTCTAATATTATTTAGTATATATGAAACACAAAACACAAAACCAAAAGAAACTAAAAACAATACCAACGATCGTACTTTTAACATTGATAAAATCACAATCGAATACATCGGTAATTCAGTTTAAATAGTCGGGCGCAAAAATTTCACGATCCATTCGCTTATTTTCTACATTTTATAAAATTACTAGATTCGTTATATAATGCTATTTACGATTTGCTGCGAATTATCCATTAGCCGTACGCCTCGCGCTATTAGCATGTGAAATTCTTTGATTATCTTGCATGCCACCAATTCGCTCTGCATCTTGAAAAAACAAAATGAAGTATGTAGAAAGATAAAGTGAAAAAGATTTAAAATGCGTATATTTAAATATTTAATAACGTAAGTTGGTCAAATTATCGCTATTATCAAATTATATGTTTCTTTTTTTTCTACACGTAAGCCATCAAAGTCTAACTAATAAAATCCAAATTACCTACGTAAATTGATGAAAAAATAAAATGGCCGAAATTGCGAGTAACAAGGTAAAAAAATATTTTCGACTCTGGGAATTCTATTAACTAAGAATATCGCGAGACTTGTGACTAATTTAACGAATTTCGCGTCTAAGTATAATGGTTTACTATGCGCAAATACTCATATAATTTACAATCATAGCAAAACTTTTAAATAAATCGAATTTATCCACTTTCACGAATTGACGTTAATTTGTGTTTGTTTCTCCGCGATAGTTGCTGCTACTGCGTAAAACTTCATTTTAATGTAAAATATTTCACGTATCTTACTTAACGGTAATTGTCTCAAAATCCACGTGACATTAAAATGTATTAAAGAGCCTTGAATTCATTATTTGACTTAAGGAAACAGCCCCTGAAGTCTCATTCAAATCTGCACTTCACAAGATTGATATTGTCCCTGTTAGAGCAAAGACTGCTTGAATATTTAGGGTAATGTTGTTCTCCTGAAACTGTTATTTACCTCGAGCGTTGCCACACTGTGTCTCATGCGTCGTCTTTCCGCCCTTTCAACTGATAGCAAATAAGAAAATGACAATAACAAAATGTATAGCCGAAACGTCCCACATTATGTTTACATTATGACCGCAGCAAATACTCTTCTTCTAGCAACTTAATATATATTTCAACGCTCTCTCCCTAGTACTTTTAATTATAAATTTATAATGCCGATAAAAGAAATGCTTGAAGATTTTATTACATTTAATTAAGGAGATTTCGTAGGCACTTTTGTTCAGAAAAAGTCTTTACAAGTGGAGTGAAAAAAGCTATGATAAATACAGATACCCGACACTCATTGATAACACTGATTAAAAAAAAAAATTGCAATTCAGTATACAATTTGTTTAAATTTAATATTTGAAATACGTTTTTTTTTTTTTTCATTTTTGTTTGGTGTATTAATCCAAAGAGGTGAAATAATTTTTTTTTATTTAAAAAAAAATACGAATTTTTAGAAAAATTCCTCTCAACTCGTGCGATAACAATTTACCTCACGTAAAATTCACATATTCTTAAATTTATTAAAATCAGTTGGAGTCTACATTATGAAAATTATGTCGCAAAAATGAAGAAGAAGAAAAAGTAGAATCGATATTTTTATTTATAATGCAAACAATGCGTACACTTTACTGCTACCAATCAACGATCATAAGATTTTGTTTGAAATATAAAATTAGCTGCATCTTATTCCGAAAGCCTATTTATTTTATAAGAAAATATTATGCATTTGCTTAATCAAACGTCTAATAACTAATAAAGGGTGACATTATAGAGGGTCTTATAAATGCTAAATATCCCGTTAGTGCCATCTAACGGGCACGAAGCATAGGCCTGCAAAGTTACTGTAATGAACAATGGAAGCCTTCACTTAGACAAATGTACAAATGATCGTATTCCAGAGTGGGCGGAATGCGAGCATATAATATAATAATAATGGCAATGGTAACAAGAGGATGCGCCACAATGCGTTTTAGAGAAGGATGCGACGAGCATCTAGTCGTATAAAATTCTCAAAAATTAGCATATTATTATTGATTATTGATTATTAATTATTGATTATTGATTAGTGATTATTGAATTATATTGCCCCGTAATATAATGCCTTTAGAATATCCTCGTGAATAGAGTTACGAAGTAATTGATATTGTCAATGTTCGCGCTTTTTTGCGTTAAGTCTTAAAAAGTAATAGTTCTTATGAAAAATGTATGGGCAAACGTGATCATTGAGGTCCTGACTTTTGCAGAGGAGCGAGGCGTCGACTACGAGTTTCGTATTGCCGGAAAAAATAACATGGGCTACGGTCAGGAGCAAGTACGCAATTGGTTTTGCCAGGAAAGCGCACCCTCGAGCTCGCCTACGAGCCTCTTCTTCAAGTTCCAGACTCCGGATACTGTCTGCGTCACGTGGGAATCGCCACCGTCGCAGTTCAGGAACGGCCAAATCGTCTCATACAACGTGCAGTTCCAAAAGAAGAACGACCGATCCGTCGAGGTGATTGACGATTTTACGACCGATTACTACCCGTTGTCTTTGATAATATCCAATCATGTACATCGTACAATGCTAAGCCTCTTCTGGTGGTACAAGGCGGCGAAGGGCAGAGGGGCTGTCATGCATTTAATTTGCAGTTTAAAATATTCTCACTATTTAACTTAATTAATTAAAATTAAAATTGTTCTTTCGAACGATAACATAAGACATTGTATCCGATGCCATGATATTCACATGTGCCATAAACTATTTTGTTGTTTTTCAATTTTCTAACACTTTAGAAATAGTTGGACACCATATCTTTGATTACAACCCAAACAAAGCCCACTGGGCATTAAAAACATGTATACGTTATCGTTTCAGTAGAAGAACTCATGGCATATTCAAAATTAAATATAACCTTAAACAAAATGTCACACAATGTATTTCAACAGATTTCTCGCAACGTCACGAAAACACGGGCAGTTTTTACAAATCTTGAGGAAAACACCGAATACGTATTTCACGTGAAAGCCTACACTAAGTCCGGCGGTGGTCCCTACTCCGAAAAGATCACTATTCCAACGGATAAGGATATAGGAAGGGCGCCAATGTCGGTGAAAGCTATCGCCACGTCGGAATCCAGCGTTGAGGTTGGTTAAGTTCTCACGTTTACCTACCATAATGGCTTTCTCGATAAATAGTAACATTTAAGGAACAAAGCGAAAGAGCGGAAAATATCGATTCATCGGATAATAGTAAAGCCAAATTCCTTCGCGTCAATCTCTTATTTCTTTAATATTCTTTAAAGCTCTAAATTTAAAAGACACGAAAATGACAGATTAAAATATTCGCATGAATTGTAACGCGTTAAAATTGTCCCGAGTGAAATAAAAATTTTTGATAAACAAAAAGTCCACTTTCATTTGATATAAAATTAATCCATAAAGTGCGCGTTTCCGTAGTTGTGTCTATCAACATTGAAATTAAACTAATTAAAATGAATATTTGATAGCTGCGATTCTTTAAAGAGAGAGAGAGAGTGTGTGGGTGGGTGGGTGGGTGGGTGTGTGTGTGTGTGTGTGTGTGTGTGTGTGTGTGTGTGAAGGGTGGGTAGGAGAGAACGTAAGCGGAAGTAATGTGTAAAAATGTTTGTTAATGTGGCAGGTTTGGTGGGAGCCAGTGCCGAATCGCGGCAAGATAATTGGCTATCAAATTTTCTACACGACAACAGCTGTGGAAGACCTGGACGAGTGGAAGACGAAAACGGTCGGACTCACCGAATCCGCCGATCTCCTGAACCTCGAGAAATTCGACGAGTACGCGGTGGCGGTGGCAGCCCGCTACAAGGACAGCCTCGGCCGCCTCAGCGACAAAGTCACGGTAAAGGTGAACCCGGAGGACGTGCCGCTGAACCTCCGGGCACCCGAGGTCTCCACGCACTCGATGAGGCTTTCATGGTCGCCGCCGATCAAGCTCAACCCCATCAACTACAAGGTGTCGTTCGACGCCGTCAAGGAATTCGTCGACTCGCAGGGCATCACGCAGACGCAGCTCGTCCCGCGGCGCACCATTTTACTCGACTCGCAGATGCTCTTCACGGACGTTAAGGACCTCCAACCCTTCACCACCTACAATGTCAATGTGAGCGCGGTGCCACCCGATGAGCAGTACAGGCCACCTTCCAAGATAACCGTCACCACTCAAATGGCCGCACCCAAGCCAATGGTTGGACCTGCCTTCTACGGTGTCGTCAATGGCGAAGAAATTCAGGTACGATCCTCGCTGCATCGATCCCATGTCCATCCACAAGAGCTTTTAACCTTACATTTAAGCTCTTATTTACGTTCATATGTTTGCTTTTTTGTGTTTATTTTTCAACCACCTCATTGGTTAGTAAGTATCGAGCTAAAAAGCTAGGATCAGTTGTGATTTATCCTTAATCCCGCCAATACCTTAAAACTCATATTCTCAATTCATATTCTCAATTTAAAACATTTTTCTCTGGAAATTATCTAAATACATCTAAGTAGATGCAAACAATATGTGCTTATTGAAAAACTGTCGAAAAATATGGAAATTAGCTCGTTATAATGGAATGCATCATAAAAAGGAAATAAAAAAACAAAACAAAAAACTGCTTACATAATAATCAATTATAATATTAATTTTAGTAATGCGATCGTTAAAAATATCGTGCAAAATTCAACCTAATGCAAATAAAAGGCGGAAAAGTCCTTAGGCCTTGAATTTTTCGAGTTAATGTAAAGTTGCGCCTCGTTACTTTCCTCCATTGTATCCTGAAAAAATAATTTCACTCGAATTTTGACAGTTTGACAATAAAATAACGAATATTTTAACTATCAATTTAAAATTTCAAACAAAGAGAAACTCTTTTTTGTGCTTCTTTAGCTTCTTAGATACTTTTTACACGAGACATTTCCTTAACTAATAAACTAATAAAAATAAATGAATAAGACATTACTTGATATATAATTTCACAATATTTTGAATTAAACGTTACAGGTTATTTTACCACAAGCCTCGGAAGAATATGGACCAATATCACATTACTACCTGGTCGTAGTTCCTGAGTCCCTTGAGACTGTGAATAAACATCCCGACGAATTCACCGAAGACATGATCGTGGGAAAAAATTCGAAAGAGGGCAATGTGCTCAAGCCTTACATTACCGCCAAGTTTCCACATAGAGATATACCTTACACTTTTCACTTGGGCGACGGGGGAACTTATGAGAGTTACGTAAATAAAAAATTAGATAAAGGAAAAAGATACAGGATATTCGTGAGAGCCATTGTCGATACACCAAGAAAGGTAACGTCAACTCCCTTACAAATAACAATTGACGAATTGATAAATTGACTATATATATATATATATATATATATATATATATATATATATATATATATATATATACATATATATATATTATATAATTTCCAAGTGCACGCAATGTATTAAAATTTATCAATTGTTGCTTAATCCTCGTTTTACAAAAGATATTGTAGGATGTGCAATTGATATTGACTGACTTATTATATATGCATTACACATACTTCGTCAAAGTCATACGACCATCCATAGAATTTTAAACAATAATTTCACAATATTTGCGATATTTTTGTACTAATAATAACAATAATAACAATAATAATAATAATAATAATAACAACAACGACAACAATAATAATAATAAAAACAACGACAACAATAATAATAATAATAACAACAACAACAATAATAATAATGGTAATGATAATGGTAATGATAATTCGTAATGTTTTTATGCAATTTTATGCAAAGAACGGAATAATTTTATTTATCCCTTGTTTACGAAACTCGGCACCAATTTACACAACCTTTGCAGCATTTGTATACGTCGTCTCCGTTTTCCGAGTATTTGTCATTGGACATGAGAGAGCCCCCTCCCGGCGATCCTCCACGTCGTCCAAATCCCGATGCGCCGATTGACGGAAATCCTGAAGTTTCGGTCGATATTAGTGGCCAAGAACCAGGCATGGTATGGGTCGTAGGTCCCATAATTGCCGCACTTATGGTCAGCGTTTGCTTGGTACTCTTATTTGTTATTAAAAAGTGAGTATCAGCAATGTCGGGCATTATTTATTCATCGATACCCTCATTATCAACCAATTGGAATGCACAATTTAACCAATCTAACGTCAAAAGTAGATTTTTTTTTCTGACACAAAAGGCTATGGTGAATGAACAATTGGAAAAAGTTGTGCTAAATGAGAGATTTTGCCAAAGATCGCAAATGTATTTGATAGCATAATAATACTTTGTAAGCATTAATAAGCATTTTATCCCAGATGAAGCATATCGTTAACACGAGCGATTTAATATTAACAATAGTAGATAATTGCATTTTGCTATAAATTGTCAAACAATTTATTTCAATTCATTTCAATTTACTTCAATTCATTTCATTTGAAAAAGCAAACGAAAAACTTGCCGGAAATTCCATTATCCCCATACACGTATCATAAAGTCAGTCGAAGGCTGTCTGTCGTTCATTTGCCGCCAATAATCAATCAGGATATAATGAGAGATGCAAGGTGACGTTATACGACATTAAATGAGCAAAAATTCCAGGCGTAGGCAGCCATGTAAGGCACCCGACCAGACAGCAGTCACGCGTCCCCTGATGTCCGCTGATATAAGCTCGAATCACGCTCCGTCCGATCCCGTAGAAATGCGTCGCCTCAATTTCCAAACTCCTGGAATGATCTCTCATCCACCCATACCGATAAGCGAGCTCAGTAATCATATCGAGCGACTGAAAGCGAACGACAATCTCAAGTTCAGCCAGGAGTACGAGTCTATTGAGCCTGGACAGCAGTTTACCTGGGATCACTCAAATATGGAGGTTGGTTAGCACGATTTTCTATTTCAAACATTACGTATCGACATCATTCCACTTTATCGAGAATAATATTTCACATATTCTTTTTTATTCTTTTGTTCGATACTTGAACCTATTTTATCGTGCCTCGTTTACTATTATCCCTTAATCGTATTAATCGGCTTATGGCGTTACGATGCGACACGGGGATTTATTTCTTTTTCTTTGTTGCATTCTTTGTTGTTTTTTGTAATATTAGAATAGGTAAAAGAAGTTGATATCAATAACAATATTAATATGCTATGCTTGTCATAATAATGATAATAATGACAATATTCATGACGACGACGACGATTATGATAAACTACAATTTAAATTAGGTGAATACTTCGAAGAACCGCTACGCGAACGTTATAGCTTACGATCACTCGAGAGTGATTCTGCAGACGTGCGACGGCAAAACGCAAATTACTGCGACGGATACAGAAAACAAAATGCATACGTGGCCACGCAGGGACCGCTACAAGAGACCTTTGCTGACTTTTGGAGAATGTGCTGGGAGCTGAGGTCAAGCACGATCGTCATGATGACGAAGCTAGAAGAACGAACGAGGATCAAATGTGATCAATATTGGCCAGCCAGAGGAACTGAGAGTTACGGCCAAATGCAAATCACGATAAGCGACGTGCAGGAGCTCGCCACTTATTGTATCCGAACATTCCAAGTACGTAACGTTTACTTGCTACGTTTTTTTTTTTTATTTTTTTTTTTTTTTGTCATTACAAATATTTAAATGATCGAGGAAAGCATTAATCGGGATTTAGTTTGAAGTATGAAAGCAGAATATCCCGTCTCTCTCTCTCTCTCTCTCTCTCTCTCTCTATCTCTCTCTCTCTACCTTGTAAACGCATGTGACTATTTGCATACGAAGTGACTCATTTAATGTGAAATGCCGACAATATATCGACATCGCTACTTTTTTCATTGCACTTTTTTCGTAATACATCCAAAATAGACAAGGGGCCTGGGCTTGCCACATGATCCATGGCTCACTACAACAAACATAAAATTTAAAATAAAAAAATTTTAATTACGACTCGTCCTCCCTTTTTGGCCGTCAACGAGGCGGCATCGAGCTTAAGGCTTCGAGGATATATGCTAACGGCGCACTTATCGCTTACGTAGGTATGTAGACACGGCTACCCGGAGCGCCGCGAGATCAAGCAGCTGCAGTTCACGGCCTGGCCGGACCACGGAGTGCCCGAGCATCCGGCGCCGTTCCTCCAGTTCCTGCGCCGCGTGCGCACCCTCAACCCCGCGGACAGCGGCCCGCTGATCGTCCATTGCAGCGCGGGCGTCGGTCGCACGGGTTGCTTCATCGTCATCGACTCGATGCTCGAGCGCATCAAACACGAAAAGACGATCGACATCTACGGCCACGTCACCTGCCTCCGAGCCCAGCGCAACTACATGGTCCAGACCGAGGACCAGTATATTTTCATCCACGACGCCCTCCTGGAGGCGGTCATTTGCGGTTAGTCTCCACGCCATCTCATAACTATCTTTCGATCGATCAAAAATCCGAGTCGAAAAACCGTGTCCTGACACGGCCTTTTCGTCCTGGTTCGTGTCAAATTTATGGTCAAATGGCTTATTAAGACGAGACAGTCCTCATTGTAGGTGTTACCGAATTTAAGGCCAAATTGCCAAATTCGTGATTGAGTATAAATTTGAATAAATTGAATTTATTGTAAGAACATTGTCGATAAAGGTCATTCGACGATCGACGATACAACTTTTTGATCTTTCTCACTATAAATTTTCAACAAAAATATATATATTAAATGATAAAAATATCATAATTCTTGCGCCATGATTATGTATAGTAAAACCGCGAAACAAAAAAATAACGACGACGACGACGACGACGACGACGACAACAACAACAACAACAATAAAGAATAACGAAAATAATTAATCGATAAATATTCAATAGGTAATACGGAGGTCCCAGCCAGAAACTTGCACTCACATATCCAAAAGCTCATGCTGCCGGAGATCGATAATATAACGGGAATGGAGCTGGAATTCAAGAAGCTGTCGAATATTAAGGCGGACTCGACGAGATTCATATCGGCGAATTTGCCCTGCAACAAACACAAAAATCGACTAGTCCACATTTTGCCTTACGAATGCACCAGGGTATGCCTACAGCCACAGAGAAACATCGAGGGGTCGGATTACATTAATGCGAGCCTGATCGATGGATATCGGTATCGGAGCGCTTACATCGCCACTCAGGGTTCGTATTCCATACCGAGAGCGTTACGCGTCCCGTTCCCGTTCCCGTTCCCGTTCCCGTTCCCGTTCCCGTTCCCGTTCCCGTTCCCCGTCACCGCGTTTCACACACCGAGGCTGAAAATCTACGTTTACAGGCCCATTGAACGACACGACGGATGACTTCTGGCGCATGCTCTGGGAGCACAACTCGACGATCGTCGTGATGCTGACGAAGCTGAAGGAGATGGGCCGCGAGAAGTGCCATCAGTATTGGCCGTCGGACCGCTCGATCCGCTATCAGTGCTTCGTCGTCGATCCAATCGCCGAGTACAACATGCCCCAGTACATTCTGCGGGAGTTCAAGGTAACGGACGCCCGGGACGGCTCGAGCCGCACCGTACGCCAATTCCAGTTCATCGACTGGCCCGAGCAAGGCGTACCCAAGTCCGTCGATGGTTTCATTGACTTCATCGGGCAGGTGCACAAGACGAAGGAGCAGTTCGGCCAGGACGGGCCCATCACCGTCCACTGCAGCGCGGGCGTCGGCAGGACCGGGGTCTTCATCACCCTCAGCATCGTCCTCGAGAGAATGCAATACGAGGGTGTGGTCGACATCTTCCAAACCGTCAGAATACTGCGCACTCAACGCCCGGCTATGGTTCAGACCGAGGTCAGTTAGCAAATTGATCCATTGAGCCCATCATTGCGCCTTTTACAGCACGAATTGTCGGTATCCTTAATTTCGAGCACCGCTGGCGTCGAATATCACGCCACTCCTTTAAATCTATCGCTTTTCATTCTTCCATTTGCTCTTGTTCTCCCGTCAATCATAATTAATTGGGCATAAATAATCGGCTCTGGGCCGATAAACCGTCTTCTTACCTAGCAATGACGAGATTATTGTGTAATTGCGTTAAAGTCCATTGTGACCGTTCGTTACGGCAACTGCCGGGTCGCACGGAGCTCCTAAAAGTTCGCTAACAAGTCGCTCGCATCCGTTTCAGGACCAGTACCAGTTTTGCTACCGCGCCAGTCTGGAGTACCTAGGCTCGTTCGACCACTACGCCAACTGACAGCCAGAAAGCCGCGAGCTGAGGGAACCGACGAGGGAGAGGGCCGATCGGCCGAGAAGCCGCGACCACACGATCGAGCGGGCGGCCAAGGTGCGCAAGGTCTAGTGGTACGACGAACTCTCGTCGTCGTCGCCGCCGCGCCATCGTTACTATCCTCATGATCATTACGATGATCGCCATCAGCATCATCGTTATGAGCAGGAGCATCGCCACAAGCAGGATCGTTATCATGATTGTCATGATTACCATGATTATCATGATCATCGTCGTCAACATAATCCTCATCATCGAGCAGCGGCCAGTCATCGTCACCATCGCTATCAGCATCGCGCGGCCTCGTCGTCTGGCTTATCCGCGAGCGACTTCGACGAGTGCTAAGTGTCCTCGTGTCCCGGAAGGCGCTCAATCGATTAGAGCGATTGGCAAACGGTGCCGAAGAAGGACAATCGGCAACGTCCTAACGCAGATGGACGTTATGCGCGCACTTGCACATGCGCACGCGCGCGCGCGCGCGTATACTAAAAGCTAAGTTCAAAAAGGACGAGTGTCCCTCGGATGTCCCGAACGCTTCCTCAGCGGCCGAGCCTCTAACCTAATTTAGCGATTATACTAAGCGGTGGATTCCTTGCAACTTCCGTACATATCTCGAACATGCGAACGAGCGTTGGAATTTAATACATACATTTACAGCTTTTTTTGGAATTCATGTTTACTTTTTTCGAGGCCTCTTTACGAGCATTTCTATCGCGTGGGAGTTATCCTTGTACACACGAGTAAGAAGTAGTGCCCATCGACCAAATCCGACCGAGTCTGGACATTGATTCGGTCCGAGGTGTTAATAGCGCCCTCGACTCAAAATACTTGAATAATTATGTTTGATTTCTCTCTACTTACGCAGTTATTGATTGATTAACCAATCGAGTGAATTGTCAAAATACGCGCTGTAACGTTCATTAATCAACGAATGTCCTGCATGAATTTTTTAGAATTCAATTTTAGAAGCAAAGATTAATTACCGAACATCGAAATCAATTATAGACCCAAATCCTTATTGAAAATTGGGTTTCGTGTGCCTTCCTTGGTAACTTGTTCTTAAGCTACAAAGGTGTTGGCTAGTTTCGTCGGTCAAACAATCTTCGCTAAAATTTACCAATGCTAATAGAGCGACGAAATTCCAAAAATAGCTGTTAGATCTTCTTATCGAAGCTACGTTTTTAATGATAATTTCTCAGAGTGTATGAAAGAAAGCTGAACAAAGTTGATAAAATGAATTTTCAACACGTGGATGAATAAAGAAGGAGAGGAAAAAAACAAGAACAATGTCATACTGCCAAATCGACAATTATTAAGAGAAATAATGCTATATACATTATTTACGATAGAGAACTTCTTAATACTTAACGTAACATGATTTTTAGTGTGTAAGTAATCATCGTAAGTTTAGTCAAGTTATGCAAGGAACCATTAGATACGCGAAGAAGAAGAAGAAGAAGAAGAAGAAGAAGATGATGATGATGATGATGATGATGAAGTTGAAATACTAGTAGTAGTAGTAGTAGTAGTAGTAGTAGTAGAAGGAGGTGGGAAAAAATTGTAAGTTTTCCCTAAAAAGCGATGTGCTATGGCGATCCATTTAATGATTTAGTTAAAAAAATGGAACGTAAGCACCAAATCATCCATGTGAATAATTAATGAGAGAAAGAGAAATAGTAGCACTGAATGTTAAAATCAACGGTTGTTGTCCCGTGGCTTTCGTTGTTCCCTATCACATGTACAAAGTCAAGCTTCTTCAAACATACGTCATTTCACACTTCCTATGCTAAATCAATTTATAGTTCATAGTTTATCATGACGATTAATACAACCCGAAGAAAAAAAGTTATTCACAACGTGTTTTATTTGAGGACAGTTTTTCTTCTTTTTTTTTTTTTTTTTTTTTTTTTTTAAATATTTTTCTTTTCTTTCGTTTGCACTTTTAATACGCGTTCTTGACGACTATTGGTAATATCGTTACTAAGTGATTTTTTTAAATATTTGATTTTACAATGTAATTTTAATGAATATTATTATATTTGATCCTTTACAATCAATTTAATCTATTTTAATTTTAATTAAAAAAATTATTAACTTTTGTACAAAAATGTTCAAATGCGTTGTTTTGCTAATGTATTATTATTCTTATTGAGTTTAATTGAATGTAATTATTTTCAATTACATTCAAACTGTTGTACATAACTGTTTTACCGGTATTTAATAAAACGTTCAAAGATAATTTAAATGAAATAGCTGGTTTGGTCGTTACATGTAATTGACTATAATTGTTGGCGTCGTTCGAGGTCAATTAACTACTCGTGTGTTTACGTAAATATATTTGGCCACTCATAATACGCGAACTATTGAATATTACAGCTGTCGTTGATGACAATAAGCATCAACATTAAAAATATCTCTGAAATATTTATCATTGCCAATAGACATCACAATATGATGGAACGTAAGTAATATGTGTAAAAAGCAATAAAATTATCGAAAATTTTTATTTGAAATAGCATATTCATATAAATAAATACTTATTATCTACGGGTTTTTAAATTAATTTTTAGAAGAATAATAATCAATTCCAAGTATACCATTTTGGTAATGGTAATCTTTAATATTATAGTTATATTATATAGTTTTCGAAAATCTCGTGTGCAATTTCCAAATTGATTCTTGAAAATTGAATAATTTACTTTTATCAGTGCATTCCTTAATATACAACCGCGCACCTCCTAACATGTGAAATGAATAGAAGAAGCGAACGCGAAAACACGGGAATTCACAATTTGTAAATAAAAACACCATCCCACCACGAAGAACATTAAGAGCATATGCAATACCGACTTATCACTATGCTAATTCACGCACCGATTACTCATCAGCGAACGACTCTAATTGAAAGCTCCCTATGATTTACATAATATCAAGATCACAATAACATTATTATTAACAACGACGACGACAACAACAACAACAACAACAACAACAACAATAATGATAATAATAATAATGATAATGATAATAATAACAACAACAACAATAATGATGATGATGATGATGATGATGATGATGATGATGATGATGATGATGTTGATAATAATAAAAAATAACAAAGAATATTAACGTATAGTAATAATGATAACAATAATAATAAAGACACTGAGTAATAACGATGATGAAAAAACAAGATTACGAGGAATAATAATCGTAATACTTGATGATGCAAAATTTCAAATTACCGTACGTACGTATGTATGTGCGATAAATACGAACGCCGGGAAAAGGAAAATTATTCGAGCAATTACTGTTTCTCTTAATGGAAATATTGAAGAACTCATTTTCATCCACACATACGATTAATTTTACAATTGTACATTATCGAATCGCGAATAATTAATTCAATTATTAATATTGCATACATGCATCGACCCGATTTCCAAATGAAAATGGCTTATTGATGTACAGAAAGTTTCACGATGAGAATCGGTACTGCACATCCCCTTAATTAACATACTAAGATAATAAACACTGTATACATAGATATATATTATTCTAAAAAATAAAACACAGATATAAATAAAAAAGAAAGAAAGAAGAAAAAAAGGAAGGAAAGCATGAATAGCAGCAACTTAATGTTCATTTCTTTTCAAAACTGTCCGGCTTTCAACAGATGTATTAATCCATCTGTTTTTAAACACTCGAAGGATACATAAAATAACCCAAATGTACTCGCAGCATTTGCATTATTTTCTAAATCTTTTTATATTTTGTGAATATGTATGACATTGCATCTTTTATAAATTTTTTACGAGCTAACTTGTGTGCTTTGTGCACACGCATTTCCTTAGATTTAATTTCTCGAAAGCGACGAATTTTCACATATAATATTCGAATGGAAGGATGACTTAATTTTCTATTATGCGAATAATGTTGTATCGAAGGCCATACATCACAAACTGATCTCATGTAATGACGATTGTAATACTAAATAATTAATGGTGGCCTGATTTCTTAAATTTTCCTAATCTCTCTCTCTCTCTCTCTCTCTCTCTCTCTCTCTCTCTCTCTATCTATCTATCTATCTATCTATCTATCTATCTATCTATCTATCTATCTATCTATCTATCTATCTATCTATCTATCTATCTATCTATCTATCTATCTATCTATCTATCTATCTATCTATCTATCTATCTATCTATCTATCTATCTATCTATCTATCTATCTATCTATCTATCTATCTATCTATCTATCTATCTATCTATCTATCTATCTATCTATCTATCTATCTATCTATCTATCTATCTATCTATCTATCTATCTATCTATCTATCTATCTATCTATCTATCTATCTATCTATCTATCTATCTATCTATCTATCTATCTATCTATCTATCTATCTATCTATCTATCTATCTATCTATCTATCTATCTATCTATCTATCTATCTATCTATCTATCTATCTATCTATCTATCTATCTATCTATCTATCTATCTATCTATCTATCTATCTATCTATCTATCTATCTATCTATCTATCTATCTATCTATCTATCTATCTATCTATCTATCTATCTATCTATCTATCTATCTATCTATCTATCTATCTATCTATCTATCTATCTATCTATCTATCTATCTATCTATCTATCTATCTATCTATCTATCTATCTATCTATCTATCTATCTATCTATCTATCTATCTATCTATCTATCTATCTATCTATCTATCTATCTATCTATCTATCTATCTATCTATCTATCTATCTATCTATCTATCTATCTATCTATCTATCTATCTATCTATCTATCTATCTATCTATCTATCTATCTATCTATCTATCTATCTATCTATCTATCTATCTATCTATCTACCTCTCTGTGGCTCTCTCTCCAAAACCTGCGAATTTTCGCTTTTATCCTATTTGACATTTCAAATATTCTATTTTAACCTTTTTATCGATTCTGTTCCGTGTCGTGGTTTTATTACTTGAAATGTAAATATAAATATTTTCGTAAGTGTAGAAATATTTCAACGCACTACTTGTGAAATGATAAACTGCCGCGATCTCTGTAAAATACTTTTGTCTTTATTGTAAACATTGTAATTAAGGATGATAATGCCTGCCACAAAATTCACACACTCATCGTGTGCTTTATTTAAAAGTTCATTTGATTTTTTGATTTTTTAAAATAACTGTAAGCGATGGTAAAGGAATTATTTTTCAAAATAATACTATACGATAAGTAAAAAAAAAAAAAAAAAAAATATTTACATTAGAATTTCGAAGATGCAAACACATATGGTTTGGTACGCCTTATATTTTTAATTGTTGCATATTAGCAAAATGGCTAGGCTGCACTGTATAATATATAGATCAATGTTAATAGTAAATATTTAAATCCGAAGTGAAATAAAAGGGAAAAAAATATATAAGGAATAGACAAGGACAATAACGTAAAACTTAATGTCATGTAAGATCCTCTGCATAAAAGCTTGAAATGATCTCTGTGCCGTGTATTTTTAATATAATTTTTAAATAACCATCCTCATTATCTTGCCACCTTGAACAAAGAAAATAATGCGGTTAAATAAAGAAATACACACATATATATATATATATATATATATATATATGAAACAAATACATTATCACGCGTGTCGTGACTTTTATCAAATCTTTTAGGCCTTCGATGCGCATTATACGAATGGTACGGTAGCTACTCAGCCATAAATAATAGCATTAAGTTTTAACAACAATAAATTTTTTATCGTATTACCACTTAATTTTATTATTGTAATTTTATTGACGATTTTATATTGTGTACAAGCAAAATATCGAGACTCATTGAATGAACGTTTTTACGTAAATAGTCACTGACAAAATACAATCTCTTGATTCTGTTAAAAGCGAATTTTTTGTCAGATTTCAAAATGACAATTATACTTTGCCAAAATTATATTCTCATTGTACAAATATACCACTTACTACATTGATTAATGAAACAATATGATAATTTAGCTAATTTTATAATCTCGTGAGCAAAAAATCTTTTAAAATCGAAGCAAGAAATAAGCAATGAAACGATACTATGCATTCAATGTTGTATACATAGTTAACTGAAAAAAGACCATCTCTAAGCTAAAGTATATATTCAAAAAAACAACAAAAAATAAGTAACACCAAAAAAAAAACAAAAAAAAAAACAAAAAAAAAAATAAAGTTAAATTGTACTTAATCACGAGAAATTCAAGACTTATTATATCAGATATATAGAAAATATGAACAACCATATGTTTCGCAAGACTCAAGCTATTTTCTCGTACTTGCAGCATTTACAACATAAAATTTCGTTCTCCCGAATTTTTCCCGAAGCAATTTCAAAGTGTTAAATTTATGCGTAATTAATTAAGTACTGATACGACGAGAAGAAACTCGAGGCCGAGTTACCAAAAAAAAAAAAAAAAAAAAAAAAAAAAAAACAACAACAACAATAAATAATAATAATAATGTAACAATGTAATAATGTAATAATGTAATAATGATTTCTATTTGTAAATTCGTTAAGTTTTTAACAAGTGGTACTTGTAATACGGACAAAAAATAAAACTGTAATACTTTTCTAGTAATATTATCTAATTACATTATTTGTGCATTATTTAATATTCGATAATTTTGCAAAATCAATTAATGCATTTAGTGGATAAGATTATAGGTAGCTACTTATGGAATGTAAGTTTTTAATATTTGCTTATCTGTTAAGCTCACTTGCGAGACTCGATACTTCGAACAATCCTAATGCATAATATTTTTCTTTAGCAATTCAGAGCCATCAAGTAATATCGAGTTTGTTGTATTCTTTTTAATCAAAGAAAAATGAAAGAATTTTTCATGCTATGGCGCAAGTTTAAGTCTTAAAGCGATGAAACACGAGTAAATGACTGGGATAAACGCAATGCTAAAGACCGTCGAGAGAATAGAAAATTATTTTTTGATACTCTCTGGCCGGAAAGAATACAACAGGCTAATACGGGAATAATAAACGCAATGTTACTGATCAATAGTTAAAAATAAAAAAAAAAAATTAAAAAAAGAATTAAATACTGTGTAATAGGAGTCTGTTGACAAGGAGAAATACCATGTACATTATGTATTGCCCGACGGCATTATTAAAATAGTAACTAATGTGTAATTTAAACTTATTATTTATCCATTTCTTTACCCAGTACCAGCAACATCTCAATCATCCGATGAAAAACCTTACACCATTATAACTCTGTTCGATGAATAAAAATTCGCTATTGGCACTTCGGATTGTATACTTTGACATCAAAATTGCTCAGTTGAATTTGTAGTTTTATTTTCATTGCCTAAGTAAAGTGAATAAATCGTTCGGTTAATTAATCAATTTAGGCAAGCATAAGTAAATCTAATTTAATGTTAAATACAAATGCTAATTTCTTAACTATAAAATTAAAAATATAAAACGAATTTAACACGTCGTATTTCAAGTGGCAAATTATACTTTTTTTTATTAAACTTTTATTTCATCCTTAAAGATTAATAAAAGACTTTAAAATATGATCATTCAATCTTTACCATTGAAACTATCACAATTTTTCAAATTATGAAAATTTCCGATAACAATTCAAATACATTAATATTAACATTAACATTTTTGTCTTTACAACTACTAGTGAAATTAGTTTTGCGTAATTATCAAATTTATTACTTTATTTCCTTTAAATAAGTTCAAAGTAACACAATTTATCCCTAATGAACTAAGAAAGCGACAATTGCATTATTATATCCTCAAAGCTAAAACAAAACGTCCAAAAACCATTGTTGCATAAAAATAATATTCAATTCAAGTAAAAAGAGATAAATCGAAGAAGAAAATAAATATAAGAAATAAGCATAAAATACGGCAAGTCATTTTTCTTTCGCCCGAGATGTTTTTAAGTTAATTAATAATTACTTCACTATTCTTATGTTAAGTTACATTCATTACGCATAAATAGATGCTAAAATTATTGAAATTATAAAAATTTTTACATCCTCACAATATAAATGCGATAAAATTAGATGGTATTATAGCTTTCTCTCGAGATTAATTAATCAACTTGGTAAAAGTAACGTTTGTAAACGCTAATTTAATCTTGATACGTTACATTCATTTATTAATTTACTAACAAAAATACTAACAGACATTTTCTTCAATATTTTTATGCCTTTAAAATCATAGCAAGAATTTAACATTAAACAACAATATCATTTCGTATTGCTTAATTAAAGTTTGCAGAAAAGACATTTTCTTCTTTCAATTAAGGAACAATCATAATGCGATATATCATTTTTTGACCATTTAATAATGCGAGCACTGGTAGTTCTTGGTTTTTGTAATAATCATTCATCATTATTGTAAGATAATTACTTACGTACAAGTTGTTAGCTAAAATTCTTATTTTCGTGACAAATTTGATCAAGTGATTCACAAATTGAATACAATTTTAACTTATTTAAATAAAATTTATTATTTGCTTATATTTATATTAAATTTATTCATTTGTACAAATATTTAAGTATTGTAATAAACTTATATATTAATAATAAAATTAATATCACATCACTTTAGACAGTTTAAATAATATTTGTTGGCTGACTGAAATTTCCGGTAGGTGGACTCTTGGCCATCATTGTAGTCACCTACAAATAATATTAAATACTACGTTAATTAATGCTCTGAACATTTAAGGTGTTTGTTGATAATTTAAAATTTTGTCAATAATGAAAGATGTAATTGTTATGTCTGTTAAAAATTAAAAAAAATTAAGAAACAATGCATATTACTCGAAACATAATTGTAATTGTTATTCATTTGTCAATTTGCACTTTAAAGAAATATCGAGAGCAACTTACGTTATGAATGACTTGTTTTTTGAAAAAATCAGAAGTTGCGGAAGAGATATTCTTATTGCTTCCAATTTTGCACTTAACGTATCCATAAAGATTAGCTCCATTCAGGATAAGTGCGATGAAAGCCAGAAGCAGCCATTTAGGTTTCAGGCCAAACAAAGCCACGAGAACGAAGACACCCCACAATATTGGTGATATAATCAATGCGAGCCAAAATATCCTTGCCTCGGATGGATTAATTCGATTCTGTTTAGCGCCCTGAAATACAGGGCATCTGTCAAATGACGAATTCGAATTTTCAAGTCAATCTTTGTATTAAGAATGAGCGCAGTAGTAGTGTCGGTTATCAAATTTTTTCTTTTCTTTTTCTTTATTTGTTATTAAAATATAATATTATGATGGCAATTATTTAATAGTTTTTATTTATTGCTGGCTTTCATTATTGACCTTAACATAATTAATTTATTGTTATTTTAATGTTTGTATTGTTAATTTAATGTTATACACATAAGACAATGTAAAATATTTCATTATATTCTATGGATTTTCCAAACTATCGAAAATAATGTTAGATTTCACCTATATTTTACTTATTTGCATGCATTTTTAGGTAAATTAATAAAAGTACCTAATTATAAATCTAACAAATATTATTATAACAAAAAATTTTTATTATCTATTTGAATGTATATTGTGTCCATATATAGAGGAATATTAGTTACAAAAAAAAAAACAAAATTTATTTACATTCCCTTTTTGTACGTGAAGAATACTACTAATATAAATGCCAAACTATTGCACTCTCTTACTATTTGATTGCGATTGACTATTATGGAATAAATTATTTCTAATTATTTGAAACGAAGATATTAACCGAACCTTTCTAGATTCAAACACCCAATGACTTATTCCATTGTCATCGACATAATTCCACCATCTAAGGCCAACCATTAATCTTCCTGTAATGTTCTTGACTGTCCAAAAATCCATTGAAAGTAAGAGGATCACGGTCACAAAACTGGCTATGAAACTTTTGGAAAACCATCCGCAAAATATATAAACCACTATTGCCGTCACTCTGAAAGCCAGGTGAAACATTGTTACATATGGATGCCTAGAACAACAAATAAAAAATTACATTGTTTACTTCGATAAATAAAAGTACATAATTTATAATTCAATAATCCTTAAAAGTTCATCGTACACCAATTGTAATAACTAAACTTTAATTAATAGCAAATCAATCGATAATAAAGCTACTTTCATTGTCAAAAGTCACGACAACTATCTTCTAATAATAAACAAATATCTTACTTGAGCTTTCCAGCTCTCGCTTCGTCTTCTTCATCGAAAGGAATCGTGTCATCATCCATAAGTAACGGTGCCTATGCGGACACAAAAACCAAAATAACTAGTACAAATTAAGTCGTAACCAATAAACTCTAATATCTCTAAATAAAAAGAAAAACAATAAAAAATTATATTAAATGAAAACATAAACAATACGTACGAAAATTAAAAATAAAAACAAACAAACAATGTGGTTTTTCATTAAAAAAACAATCATAAAGTAACAAACAGTCTGATATATTTTTCGAAATGCTTTTAAATCTCTTGTGAACCGTATGCTAAATACTATTATTTCATTTCATGTAATTAAGTCAGTCTTCCGAAAAATGACGGAATACAAATGTAGAAAGTAAATTGCGGACCATTCCTCGCAGAAACATTAATACTACGATAAAAAAATTCCTAAAAACCATGACACGTTTCAAACAATAATTTGAGGTTAAATATATCAATGTGTATTGAGCAAAAAAAAAAAAATAAAATAAAATAAATAAATAAATAAGATAATGAAAGATGTAATTTGATTATACAAACAAGCGTGAAGGAGAATATGTAAAGCTAATGTAAATAAAATAGGTTTATGCTTCTAATGTGCGTTAAGTAAACAGCAAAGTGTAAAACGTCCAAGCTACACAAACTGCAAGAAAATTCGAACGCAAACATGATAATAGTGCATTTATTTCTTTTTAATTAGCATGGGTAATTAAATTAAAAAAAAAAATTAATAAATAGATAAAGAAAAACAATAACAAAGGCAAAAATAAACGTTAATTACAGAAAAAGCGTCGAGTTCAAAGTGAGAAAATAGCGTCGAATCCGTGCCCGTAACACAACGGAATTAGTAGTGAAAAAAAGCAGGTGGCAAAAAGTGAACTTATTTGCTTTAACAAATTGTCACTCGTATTCTGGTACAAAATCCGCGAGTAATCCTTCCCGACAATCACGCTCCACTTCTCCTACACATACACGTCACTAAAACGCGGTGGGCAGCAGCAGCAGCAGCAGCAGTCGAGCTAAGTGCACAGCAGTTTATGTGCTTTATGTGACTTTGTAAAAAGAGTTGGCGACCGACTTCCCCGAGACTTTTTTCCGCTATATGAATGTGAAATCGGCGAGCAGGTAAAAACCGAGAGGGCAAAATAAAAACTCGAGGCGTACGTATGAAGCCCCAAATCCCAAGCAGAAGACGCTAACGAGCAAGAGGCACCTACCGACGCAGACGCCATATTTGTTCCGAGAGAACTCTTCTAGCGCCTCCTACTTTCTACCTCATTGTCACGATCGTGGATAAGCTCTCGCTCTCGCTCTCTCTCTCTCTCTCTCTCTCTCTCTCTCTCTCTCGCTCTCGCTCTCGCATGCACACACTGGGTGATGGCTACCGGGTGAGCCCAATGGATTAGGGAGAGCCGCCGATCAGAGAAATTCTATCACGTAGATTATTACTCGAAACCAACCAATTAATGGCAATCGATCGATAACTTACGTTACGCCATAAGGACATTGCGCCGGCTCATTGCAATTATGCACGAGATGATGAATTCATTAGAACGAGTCGGACTCATCGCTTCCACCTCATAAATCAATCAATTGCCAATGACTCCTATGATCGCTATAGCTTCATTGCTATCTTAATCAATACCATTTTATGGGCGACCATGGGCCACGGGAGCGGGTAATTACTTTCTTCGTTAGGCCGCTACTGTAAAAAAGGCCGAGCTTCTCTTGCTCCTCATTTACTCCATTCCTCTGTAATTTATACGAATTACCTTACCCCTCTTCCTCCTTGTGCTCTTAACCGGCTCATTTCCATCAAATACTGACAGTGTCAAAAAAAAAAATCAAACCTTCGCCTTTCCTTTTTAATTCTCGCGCCTTAATCTCCCATTTGACAGCTTTGTAAATACTCGGGTAAGGTTGGGCGTATCGTTACGTCAGAATAAAAGAGAACACGACATGCGATGTTGTCAAGTTTCTCGTGTTTTAGTTTGGGCCGCTGAAAGCTACGGCGACGATTAAAATTTGAATACCATTTTAAGAGATAGTAATGAGCGAGTGGACGTGAAATCGGAGAGAGAGCGAACCATACGAAACCTACGCTATCCGCGATCGACGAGATTATTCACGTCACATGACATTTGATATTATCCAACGTACAAACGTTTATTTAATGCTCCACGCTAATACGCCATAAATTCATGGGAAATTGGCATCAATGTAACGGCTTTTACAGTTATTAAAAAAAAAAAAAAAAAAAAAAAAAAAAAAACACCCCTGTTTTCTGAGAGCT